AGGTAGCAATGGGGTTACGTACTCTTTACCGATGAACGATGGGCGTCAACGACAATATAGACGTCAAGAAGAACGTTTTCTGGACTCCACGGTTAGAGAACTGCGAGCCTTTGGAGGTAATGGTTTGGGGTAGCATAACTTTGTACTGCATTGCACACAATTATTAATGCAACTTTAAATGCTAGTGGATACACCCATGATATTTTAAGCCCTATTGTGCTACCATTTGCAAATCAAGTAGATAATTTTGTTCTACAGCAAGCATGTTGCGCGAATAGTTTTAAATTTTTTAAAGACCATAATTTAAGTGTTATGGATTTAATTCCATAAAAATGCGTTTGCATAACCGATAAAGACCAAATACCTTTTAAGAGCTTTATGCTTATCTCTAAGGAAATGTTAATGATAACATAATGTTAACTGTCTGTTGAATAAAAATAAGATAATGTTATCTGTTTGCTATTCTCTAAGCACATTTGCGCTCTGTTAGCAACATAATGTTAATAACATTATGTTAAGTTTTACATATGTCAAAAACCTGTTAGGGATAACATAGAATCTGTTTCAGGAATTTATAAGGTTATAATAGTATATTAAAGAACTAACGTCATATTTACCCCATTTCATGTCGTTCGAGATAATACGCCTGAAGCCCGATTCAATGTGTTACTTAAGTCATCTCGAAATACTATTGAAAGAACGAATGGTCGTTTTAGAGCTCTGCTGAAATGTTACACTATTATCGCAGTAAGGCAGCATATATTATTTATTCAGCCGTAGTATTACATAACATAGCACTATGGGCTAATATAGATTTGGATGAGAAGTTAATTGATTACGATGACGAAGATATAGATGATAATTATAAATATGAATACTGGAGTTGGGAGGAATTGTAAGAAATAATTACAAAAAATGATTACATCAATATGTAAACCTTTGTTAAATATTAATAAATTATTATTTACTAATTCAAACTTTTATTTTTTCATAACAAAAATCAAGAAATAAATAACAAAAATAAGTAATTCAGAAAGTTATAAAACACAAACAAAAATATTGGTATTTTTCAATTCATTCAGCGCACTTTTTACTATGGGGATTGGACAATAACTCCCATCTTAAAATATTTTTGTGTTACGATAACTCAAAAACCTTTTAAAACTGGAAGGTACTTATACTATTCCCATAGTAAAAAATGCGACGAATAAATTGGAAAATACCTTATTGCCTAATCAGTTATTTGGGTTAAGGGGTGTTAGAATTAGCCAATAATATGTTTTACAACTAAATACATAAAATGTATTTATTACCTAATGAAAATTAAAATTAGGGTTTTCAAACTGGTATTTGGCAATTTCAAACCGTAGTTTATTTAATTCTAAATTATTTTTTTTTTCAGTTTTTCTGAAGCATTTTTGTATTTATATATAATATATATATACATCTAAAAGCTCTTTTCCAATCGCTTTAATTGTCCTCTTTTCTGTAAGTTTTGGCCTAGTATTTGGACGAATTAATGACTGAGGGACTGTGCGTTTTCTTTTCAATGTTTTTCGGATGGATGCTGATGTTTCAGTTACAGAAATATCTCCAGGTTATTTGGATCTTGTTCAGCTTTAGATGTGATTGCTGTTTCTTGTAACCTTTCAAGAATTTCATCATCAATAAAATTACTCACAATTTGTATATGGGTAACATCATTTTCTTTGCTTTACCCACTCAGGAACTCTAGTAGAGCCAGTCAATTTAACCCTTCCCCATACATTTAGGCCTCGTTCTTCCAGCGAGTTTAATTGAATATCTGCACCACCAGTTTTTTTAAAGTCCATCACTTTGGCGAGATACTTAGCACGAGTGCTATTTTTCCTGTTAGTAAAACGCTACAAACTTCCATAAACCATATGTTTTCTTAATGTTTATAATACTTCCATTATAAAACTGGGTCTTAGGCGCAAGAATATAAATGTTTAGCAATTTTTTCCACATCGAATCTATATAATCCGGCGGGAGATTTGGATTCATGGCTACGTACGAAATACCTCGTTTAATTCCATCTTATTTATATATATTTTGTACTGCTCATACGATGTTTTTGTCTCCTGCTTTTTTTGATATTTTGACATAAATAAAAAAAATGTTATTTTGACATAATAACCTACATTTGTATTGGTACTGCCAACCGAACAAACTTAATAACATGTTTTTTTATAAAAAATAGCATTTTTGAACAAATAAACAAATGTTGCTTAGTGAATACATATTTCAATATTTAATTTTACATGATTTATTATAATAATAGTTATCTGTTTTACCTTCTGCTAAATGATTTTTAACAGAGCTATGTTATTAGCATAATGTTAAATTAATATAATGTTAAACAGTTTTTAGAGAATAGCACCATTAGAATGGTACAAGAAGAGCTTTATAGAATGATACAAGAAGAATGGAAGAGCATTCCTTAAAATCTAATAGAGATGATTCCTAAAAGATTTGCTAAGCAGTGAGGGCGTGAGGCATGTGCAAACGGTGCGGTGCACCCGGTCCCGCGTCTCGACGACATTATTGTATATTTTTGCAACATGGCAACCTGTAAGCGCCGCGCGACAACATAATATGTGGTCGATGCCAGAGATAATATCTTTAGTAGGTATCGCCATCTATTATCATTTCATCCAGACAGTTATTGCGCATGACTGTCACTAAGTGACAACTATTGTCATCCAATAAGGTGCTTTCCTTTCATTTTTGAAGTGAGCCAAGCAAAAGTGAGATAAGCGAGGCCACTTACGCGCACTCATCTTACCTAAAATAGACCAAAGGAACGGTTGGTAAGCCTATTTTCTCTAAAAGTGACACTTGACAGTTTAACCCTTATGTTGGTTTAACCATTTCCCTCAACAATTTAACGCAAAGATTAAAGACTTAACGAACAAAATGTCGAATCAAATAATACAGGTAGTTAAAAATATACTTAAATCCAATTTTTTTTATTCTTTAATTTTATAGAATGTAGTGAATGTAATATTCAGCAGCGATTCTGAAAATACTAGTTTAATCGTATGGTATCATCGTAATCGTAAATTACTATTTAAATAGTCATACCTACAATTGTAGGTATTCTAGTCGCCGAATGAATCATTCAATTTGAAATCCGAATGAAAATATGCGATTAATAATCGCGGATTACTTAATTCGAAAATAAACGGCGATTATTAATCGCATACTTTCATTCGAATTATCAATTCGATTAAATTATTCCGATATTGAAATCCGAATAAAGTATGCGATTTATAATCGCCGATTATTTAATCGAATTATCATCCGATTATTGAAATAATCGTATCGGATAAATAATATTGTGTGTACTTTTTTAAACTAAATGTATATGACATAAATAAAAGGCATTTTTATGACAAGTTATTTTGTGAAAACAAAACATCTCCAACTTAATTCTTATTTGAAGCAACTTTAATTTTGCAAGATAATCGGGTATTGATATAATCCGATTATGCCCATCACTAATATGGTTTTAATTTTATTCTGTTTTGTTTGATAGAGAGTGTACAACCTCACTTTTTGGCGTGCATCTATCCCCACCACCAAGTAATCAAAATTTCTCATTTGTAAGAGTGCTCCGGAGGTTGTGCTTGATCGGTAAGGGGGGAGGTAAAATTCTCACTTTGGCTTACCTGTCATTTTGCAAATGGAACGGTCTCTAAAGTGAGAAAACCAAGGTGAGGTAAGAATATCAAAGAATCGTGGCAAAAGGAAAGCACCTGTTATTACAAATCAATTTTAGTTTGCATTAGTGTTAAGTAACCGTGGAGTTCGGTTTTATCAGTCATAGAGTGCGGGTGGCTCAATGAAAAAGTGTTGAAAAAAGATGACTTCTCGACCCAGGAGGGACAAAACTGGATTCCCGGAATAGAAATATTCCTGTATGTCTCGATAATATTCCTCGGTTTTATAAAGGAAAAGAGAAATTTATATAAAGGTTATATAACCTATATATGTGCACGTGTCCGACAACCGTTGTCCAATGGTGGATAGAGGACTGGTATTATTATTAGTACTTGGCCAGTAAGAGCTTTATTGCCTCAATACCATTTTCCTGGGTCCTTTCCTTTGTTATTGTGTGTATATTTATTTTTAAGTTATATAAGTTATATACGAGTATATCATATCCCTGCTAAAAGTCACTAACTAACATTTTATTATTGAGCTTCAAGATAAACTAAATAAGCTAATAAATATATCTATTACATCAGTTTATAAACTATAGTGATTTTTAAACATGCAAAAACGACCATTTTTATTATTCTAGGCATCAAGTGGCTGTTAAACATTAAAGATATGGTAAATTTGTATACTTAAGTACAATTTGTTAACAAAATTTCAGTTAGGGACTTTTGGCAGGAATATGACCATATATTCTACAATTTCGTCAAATTTTAATTAAATATCTAGTTTTGTTAAAAAGTTATGCCAGTTTAATTAAGTGCACCCTAGTAACTAAAAAAAGTTTATTCCATAAGTTTAGGCTGAACATATAAAGTCATCCCTACATACCTCAGAGGTAAAGTGTACTAAGTCACATAAGTAATATTTTACAGGAGAGCATAAAAAAGTTAAAAAAACTGATTAATTCTCCATTATTTTCTCATTTTTATTATTTGTAAATTCAAATTCATATGACAATGATTTAAATACATTACGTTTACAATGTAGTAGATTTTTTATTTTTTTTCAAATTAGAAATTTGATTTATTGGACTTGGTACATTTTATCTCGAAAAAAAAATTGAAATTGTGGACATAGTGCTCATTCTAATATTTACAGTGTTTAACTAAAAAAATTAAATCAGCAGAAAAAAATGATTTTTTTCAAGTTTTACGTAAATGGATATTTACACACAGTAATCATTATAGAATGGAGGTAAGAAACACCTTCATGCAGGAAAAAAAAACACATTTTTTTTGTAAATTTAATATTGTATTTTAAAATATTGGAAGAACATCAACGAACAACTTTTACTTTGGTGGTTACACCAAAGCAGTAGGAAACACAAACTATACAAATAATGTATTCCTTTTCGTTAAAAATAAGAAACTTTTACATAAACTAATCTTAAATATTCTAAAGATTTAACATAGAGTATACAAGAAAGATAAAAAATAGATATTACTCTAATGCTAAAGGACAAATATTAAAAAAATAGTCGCATTAAACCGTATAATGTTAATTTTCACCATCTTCTTTATTGTCTTTATCGGTATGTGGAAGTTGTTGGTAAAAATGGTGAAATATTTTGGGAACCCATTGTAATAGATTTTGGAGATCTTTGTATTTCTTTTCACTAATTGGTTTTGGTTCGTTCCTTATAACTGGAATTTCTTCTGGAAATATTGATTTACGGGATACTCTATTTAAATCAAGTATCTTAAAATCATTCTCGTCAAAACTTGTTTTACAAAAAACCTTTCCAATTTGATCAGAACGAACCTGGATATGGACCAATTGTGATATTTTAAAGTCTTCTCCTGTTTCCATTTTTTTTCTGTGCAAAAATGGTGCGTTGGTGCCTTGAATTAGTGACATGAAATTTTTAAAATCGGATATTTCCATGTTGATGACAGAAAATGGGTTTTTATGACTTGCCAAACGAACTAACTGTTGCCAGTCCCATGGGGTCATAATCTGAAATTTTGTCATTTTTTTCCTTTCCCTTTCAATTATAGAGTGGTCACTATCTACTTCCAAGTGGGTGTGCCCTCTTAGAAGATATTTATGATTTATTACCTTTATTGTAGGTATTAATTTTAAAATGAAAAAATATGCCAAAATTGAGTTCATATTGCGATTTTGGGAAGGACAATTGTCCGACCATATTGTAAGTTCTTCAGTAGAGTCGTCAATAGTGCTAAGTGCCCATTTTAGTAAACATGAGGGCATTTCGTTTCCACCTCGCCCTGCTACGCTTTCATCCCACATGCAACAAGTTGTAAGATTTTTTGAAGAATCTTTAATTGTGTAGTTGAATGTCCACAATTTGAGGGAATAAAAACTTTGAGCATTTGTTAATGCGGGTGTTGGCAAACATTTTTCTAGATCAACCATTATAACTTTAAGTTTTTTATTTTCTTTTGCATTTGCCTTATCTTGTGCTTTTAAAGCATACCTATTACCCGCATCACTTAAGTGCGAGTCGTACTCTTTTTGAATAGCCATTCTTTCATCAATTATTGTTGAATCCTTTAATTTAACAAGGTATTTGTCACACTGGTCACAAGTGTCATTGTCAGGAGGCTTAAAGGAATAATTAAATTCGTTGTTAAATATTTCACTGTATAGCCATGATTTAGGTATGTCAATTTCGGGTATGTTTCGATCTAACATTTCTTGTTTGTAAGCGTCGTACATTCTGGTTATATTTAAATTACTATCGAGATACTTTTTGGATGATCGTTCCCTACTATAATGAGATTCAAGGGTCGGGAATTTTAAAATATGATTTCTAATAGTGTCTCTTAACTCAGCTGAGATTTTATTTGAAGGTATTTTTTTGCCACGTTGATCAGATTCCACTATACCCCCACTACATTTTTTGGATAACGCGGTTGACACAAATGTTTGTGAGATCCCCAAAGTATTTAAAAAAAACGTTTTGCATACCTGAACTTGCAGCTTTTGCACAGAAAAAAAGAATTTTTTGTTGTAATTTTTTTTATTTGCCCTTTCTCCAGTGCGCTCACGCCGTCTTTTGATTTCTGCCAAATTAACAGAAGAAGCCACAAACTGACGTTTATGATCAATTGATTTTGACGGAGACCAAAAACATGTAAATATGGTATTTCTTTGTTCTTGGCTGATTTTTGTCGAGCATTTAAGCCTGCAGTTATCATTGCAAGGCAGTTTCAAAGATTTGGCTTTTGTGAAAGTGTTCCGTTTAGACATATACTCCTCTCCAGAAAGAAATTTGTGTTTTCTCACATTGCATTTCCAGTTCCTAATGTTTCTTTTACGTTTTCTTCCTTTCTGAGATTCTGTTAAATTTCTTTCTGACCTTTGTCCATCATCCTGCTCTGTTTCCACATCAGTTGAAGCATCACCTGAATTGTTGCTTGTCTTAGAATCTGTTTCACTATCTCTTTGTTGATAATTTGGGTCTTTCATGCTATCATCTGAGTCTTCCCATAAAATATCATTGCTTTCCTCGTTATTATTTCTGCTTGTGGATGTACTCGGAATAGAAACTGTCTGAAGGGGAAGGGGAATAGGTTCAGTAGGCAGCCAATGACCTTTGTTTTCATGTTCTGAAAAAATGCACAACAAATCACTAATTAAAATGGACTAATGTAACAGATTTACCTTTTTCAAAATTAGATATAGCCCTACGCACTGGAATTTTAGATAGACCTACGTTTTTTAATGTGTATAACTCGGGTTCTCCAGGACAATCAAATACTAAAATATAAGTACTTTTAGTTGACGCAAATAACCAAAGCTAGAAAAACAAAAAGCACCAATACATACGTTTACGTGTCACATTTTTTGTAGATCCATTTTCAGGTGTACATTCAATAAGCTTTTGAAGTTGAATAAATTTTTTAGGCGACTTATTAGTTACGTCTTCAGTCTCTACAAATAAAATCCGTTTAGTTTAATTTATATTGCTAAAATAAGAAGCCAGTAAACACTTGCAGTATTCAGCGAATACGAAAATCCGATAATAAGACAAGTTCCGGCTGGTGTAGCTCAATTTCTCTTGCAAAATATTCGTTATTATTCGATAATTTCCGCACCGTGCCGCAACATTGTGCCGCATCAAAGACGCTCCAAAAAAATGGCGAATATACTTTACGTACTCGGTGCATACTGCATGTTTATCGCCGCGCCGCTGCGGCTTAATCCCTTAAAGTAGCACTCTTACCTTGATCAATATTATTTGCAGAACTAATAATTGATACTGGGCTTCCTACTAGGCCAGAATTATCCAACTCAATTGACAAGCGGTCTCTGGAATTACCTAAAACACCCACTTTTGCTAAAGAACTTAAATCAAATCAATACGTTTTTCAAATAGAAAAGTAATATTAAAGGAGCAACACGACTATACATACTATTATTTGGCACATCTTCGGCTACATTCACCTTTCCCAAGGCTGCCATAATTTTCGCACTTCTTGAAGAAAACATGTCGCACAAAAGTATTAATCTAATCCGCCAGCTAACGAAAGACTAAATTAGGGAATGAAAAAATTATAAACGGCTGGACGGTAGCAGACAGGAGCGAACGTGCAAAGTATCACGTACACCAATTGTACTAAGTCCAGGGTAGCGAATAAATATTTTTGAGTAAGCAATACTAAGTCCAAAAAGTACAGTTTACCTCTGAGTGCTGCTGTGACTTAGTACTGTTTTAAAATTATTAACTCGCCAACTACCTTAATTTTGATAGTTAAATATTTTTTTTCAGATAGAGCGTTAAAAGTTATGTCACTTAGTACAGAAAACTCATTTTTGGCAAAAAGTGGACTTAGTACACTTTACCTCTGAGGTACAGATGTATAATAAATATCCTACAGTTAAATTAACACGAGTTTTGGCTTATCTTATCGGACGCATGCAAATGAGTCCGACCAAGTAGGCGGCTGTGTATACCACCCGGGTAACATCATAAACTGCCCTGGCGATCAGTGGCGATTTCGTTTGTAAAATATTGTCAAAGTTTGCATTTTTACGAAACATTGCCGAATAAAATGATAATGCAATAACCGTTAAAATGTATACAAAGTGTCATAAACCGCGGAGGGGTTTTTATCGGCATCCTTAACACTCGTGTAAAATGTGTATATTAGGAGCAGGAGGAACGTAGAATAATCTGAATCATATCATATCTCGTGTAATTTATAAATGACATTTGAGATTTATGTTAGTGGGGACAGGAGATCATACGTGTAACCTATATTTATTTAGCTTATGGCTTTATGTCATTTTCAATTTTACCTCTCTAAACACTTAATCCAACTTTTTTTATTAAAAGCAGCTTAGAGTTTTTCACATATGAATAAATAAACAGTTTTAATTAAAGGGGATTAAAGCTATTTTATTTTAACTATATATACAGGGCGATTTTAAAATATATGTCAAAAAAACTGGAGTACCTACAAGGGCGTCGCCAGCCGGTAAACTAGGGGGACAGCATAAAAGAACTGAAGAGAAAAATCAAAAAAGAAAAGTTTTAATAAAAAAATAAAAAACGAACAAAATAACATAGAAAATCAATTGACACATAATCTTTGCGAATTCGTTAGTCACTTTGTTGACGAAATCGTCCAAGTTTTTGAAAATGTGTTGCCTGTGTACACTTATCATTGCGAGGCCATTGAGTCGAGTTTCAAACATGGTGCTCCTCAACCAGGTTTTGATTCTCCTGAGGCTACTGAATGACTTTTCAACTGTACAAGTCATACAAGGTAAAGCATTGCTTTAAAAGCAACAATGATCTTCAAAGCCTTCTTAATTTCAGGAAAAAAATCTTCAGTTTCCTTGAGGATTTCCACAACACTCAGTATATCATTTCAATTAGCCGGGTGACTTGTGAGCGTTAACCTCTAGGGGGGGGGGCAGCTGCCCCCCCTGCCCCTCTCTGGCGACGCCCTTAAGTACCTATCTACTAGCTTAGTAAGACAATAAAAAATAAATATTACATTTAAGATAGCATTTAAGGTCTGTGACGAATTTGCTTTAATGCCATTATTACGTACTTTAAAAACAGCATCCTTTCAGCACTGACTTTAAATTTGGAAATAAGAAGAAGTCGCAAGGAACCAGGTTTGGCTAAAGGCCTCTCTGTTGGCGCGTAATTCAAAATGTTTCTTATTTTCTGAATAGACCTCGTTACAAAGATTTTAAAAACGTACATATTTACCGGTAAAGTTGCGTATTTTTGAAAAAAAATTCCGAAAACACCGGTTAAAGTGATGTAAGACATTTTAAATACTTAGATTATACAGCTTTAAACAATCTAAACTTTAAGTTTAACATATTTAACACTACCGTAAACCTTTCAAACAACAACTTAATAGTTTTACTACTAGTAACTTAACACATGTAGCTAAATTATTTATTTTTTGCTAATATACAAAATTATTTTTTTTGTTAGGAGCCAATGCATAAACATACTTGCAGTTTAAAATTCAATATTACCTACATCAGTATTAGTATTACTGAAAAGAATGAATTCTTGTGTGTTTCCAAACTCTTGGGTTCAGACCCAAATGTTTGAAAATAAATAATAAACACATAAATACTCATTCTCAATTGCCCAAGCTCTCCCCAATTTACTTGATTTTTCAGCAAGCTTAAGTTGGTTTAAAAGAACTAATTCTTAAAATGTCTAAGCTGTCCCCAATTTTCTTGATTTTTTAGTAATTATTACTAAACAGTTTTTTTTAATGTATATAGGATGATTTTAAAATATATATCATAAAAACTATAAAAATAAATCATTCCTTAAATCGGATAGGTACCTAATTTCTGGGAAACAATTTGAGATTATTAATCATGTACTATACTGTATAATGTAAAGGAAAACAGATTTTTCTACGACCACTATGTAAAAGTCACTTTTCATGATGGCATCGTTGCTTATAAAATGAATATTTTCATTGGCAAGGCAAAACACGAATGTAAAGTGACATTTCTGTGTGAAAAGTGACAGGTCTGTGTGAAAAGAACCGGAAAGCATCGTTTGACATCCAGCTGTCACAAAAGATTTTACGTTATTTTGTTTTGTATTTAAAAATAATAAAAAATAAAAGGGTCGCAGAAAAAACATAGTGTTATACTTGTGAGAAAAGCTTTCTTCAAGCTCGTGTTAATGCACACTCGGCCTAACGGCCTCGTGGGCAACTTAAAAACTCGCATGAAAAAGTCGCTTTTCAACACTTGTAAAACAAATAACTATTATCTGTTGCTTAGATGATCATCATTGTTGTTTTGTTAATTTTTTGACTGAGACAGTAGTTTTAATAATGATTTTGGTTTCATAATTATTTTAATAATTTGTATCTAAAGCCATAAAGGCCATAAAATGACAATATAATATATTAATCAATATTAATCAAACGGACAATGTCCTTATTTATAGCGAAGTTAGTTAAAATGCAGTAAGATCCGTCGGATTCCTGATATACAAAAAAAAGTTTATATACAAAAGTGCTCTTTTAGTTCCACCCTTATTTCTTAAGACGTCCCATTAGCCAACTGAATGGCTTGTGCGGGTTAGGGGTAGGAACGGACCGCGGGCTTGCTCCGAAGGGCTATTACAGAATAGGACAAACACAAATAAACAGCCATACCCCACGACCTCCGGCTTGTAGTCAGCAGCACTAACCACTAGTCCACCGTCGGCGGACTTTTTTTTTAATCTTTTTAACATTGTCGGGATTACGGCTCTTTCAATCAGCAATATCAGTATCGCGAAAGAGAAAAAACGGACAGAATTTTAAATACTAAGCCTCAGATTTTAGACGCTGTGGAGGCGGAGCCGAGTATTGCACGATAAACATTTTTAACAATTATTGTAATCTCAAATATCTCGAGAACGGTTAATTTTATCGAAGTTTCAGAGGTACCTTTTTAATAGTAGCCGAACTGAGTAATCGAAAAATTGCATCAAATGGTATAAAAACCTAACCTCAAAGTTTGTATGGGACAATAAGATTAAGCAACCCCTGTTTCTACGACACTGTGTTCACTCAAACAATTGTAATTATTTGTGAATATGTGTTTTGGTAGTAAGTGACTGTTCGCAAAATATCACCTTTCCAAGTCTACCATAGTAGAAGTTATATTAAAAAAACTGATATGATAAGTAACATTTTATTACCCTGTATCTTTTAAACATACGTAATTAGGAAAAATATTTATTTAGATTTTCGTCTTATTTTGACTTGCTTAATCTGCTCCTAAATTTATGCCACTAAGTTTAGGGACACCTTGTATATATATATATATATATATATATATATATATATATATATATCTATATATCTATAGATTTATCATAAAATAATATATAGATATATAGATTTATCATAAAATAATAATCAATTTAGTCTATTAATCCGTTAACGAGTAACATAATTCCAAAATAAAAAAAATCTCATGTTACATGAGATTTTTTTTATTTTGGAATCATGTACCTACTTAATTTAAATGTAAAATCACGATTAGCAACCAATAATATTAATGGGTGATATTTTAACAGGCTCACGGGGCTATAACATTTTATAGAAAAAAATAGTCGATTTTTGTTAATCAGTATAATACGTATACTGCAATATAAAATAATCAATTTTTATTTACGTAAGTTGGGTTAGGTCGAATTATTTTAAACCAAGAAAAATGTGGCCTTGCATTGCACAGGTTTTATCGGAAAAACTTGTATAAATGCTAGAATGTTTTATTTATATTATTTGTTATTCATTTATTTTATTAAAAATAAGTGCTTTTTTCCTTGTTTATTTATTTTTGACGTAAGAATTTGTTGTTTAGTTATTTAGATATATATAATTATTGATAGGCCCCCAAAGAGCTTTAGCCCAGGGCCCCCAAAGTCAACGGTCCGCCCCTGTAAACGAAGCTATGGAGGACTGATTCGCTTAAAGGAAACACCGCTGTAAAAATTGTGTAAATTGGGAGGGGAGTATCTACTTAAAAGGTTACAAATACCAATATTCGGTAAAAGGGGACATCCATTAATTACGTGAGATAAAAATAGGGGGGAGGGGTCTAGCAAAATCTCATCCAATCTCATGTTAAGGTAGGGGGGGATCATTAAAAATCTCACGTCAACTTTTGGGTCTAAAGAATATGTATTATAATTCAAATTAGTCAAAAAAAAAGTAATAAATTTTTATTTTTTGGGTTTATCATGTTGTCCGCAAAGAAAGTTAATGGCTAGAATCTCAAATCTCACCAAATCTCACCAAGGGAAGGGAGGGGTCTAAATTAGCAGAAAAATGCCTCACGTAATTAATGGATGATGTCCCCAAACTAATAATAAAGTTTTAAAAAAAAGTTCGGTTCTGAACAGACCTCCTACGTATATAATATATTATATTTATTTGAATAATATATGTATATATATATTATATTTATTTGGATAATATATTATATTTATTTGAAAAAAAAAATCGTATGCGGATGTTGTATATAAAACGTATTATGGTTATAGGTATCTAAATTTTAAGTTTTCTTAGAAAGAACATAGGTATCTACATTATTTGTTGATGTTATTAATGTCGATCAGAGATCAGAGTGGCAGTGACACTGCCGCAGTGATATATTTATTGTATTTGATATTTTAATATGATATAGTTTTTTTAGATGTATTTACTTACTATTTAATACTCGTAATAAGTAAGTCATTATGTAGTATAAAAATGTTGCATTTAATCAAAAATTTGGTATATTAAAACAATTAAAAATTTCTAATAAAGATAATTATAAAAATTAAAATATTAAATTAAATATAATTA